CTTTTCAGATCCAAACCAAGATCCTGAGCTACATTACCGATTAGAGAGCCTTTCTTCAACTCCTCTGGTACTGAATAACGAATCTGACCATCAACCATGTTAGCGACATGCAGCAGGAATATCAGCATTTGTATACACCGTCGCAGTCCTGGAAAAGCTCGACATCTTGCGCATTTGTTGGCGAGAGATCCTCGAGTTGCCATCATGGCAACAGAGAATAGAAAAAAGGGTTTCAATGAAAACGACGGAGAAGCTGTTTTTATGAATCCGTGTACTCGTGAAATATAAACACGCGTTCAACCATTAAAAGCAGGTCTTTAACGCCACGCTCTCTCGTGCGTCCATTGAACCTCGACAAAACACAGAAAGCCTTCTGCAAAATGTAGTCAGTTGGGGGACGGACTGAATGACGACACAACACAGAAAAGGTTTTGTTAACCAACAGCGTCCCTTTGAGTCCAAATTGTGAACATCAAGTGAAGTCAAGACCACAGTACTTACACCAAGACACAGTGACAGAATAACCACGTACCTAATTGTCTATTTATGTACTCTCAGGTCAATGTTTAAAGATAAAACTTGTTCCACTTTACAAATTTTAACAGGTCATATTGTGAACTAACTATCGACTTCAAACTTCGAAGCAAATGATTTCCAGTAAAAGAAAGAAAAAACATAGTTTGCCAAACGTTTTTATAAAACTATGATCCAACTGAATGAATACAATGGCCTTTTAAAACAAAACGAAAGTCACTATGTGCACTAAAAAATGATCTTCCACATTCTCCTGATGTATCTGCAGTTCTGCAGCCATAAAACAACACCTATTTGATTAGTCTGTGTAACAGAGTATTGGGACTTGTACAGATATCAAGCTATCTGTTATGTAGATTTGATAATAATATGAATGGAGGGTTTATATTTTATACAAGACACAAAGCAATTGAGATGAAAAGGCTTTAACTTGAAACTGTTGTTATTAAGAGAAATATGAAGGCGTGAAAGTGGGGGCAACAGGTATGTTTTTGTTAATGATTTATATCAGCGTATAATCAACACTGACTAAGTGCAATATTTGTATCAGTGTCAGGGACCTTGTGCAATATTTCAAATTCATTAAGCTTAAAAACAAGAGAAATATTACTTCAACGTCCGCGTGCACAAACACTAAGTATGATTATCAGGTAAACAAAATCTTATACTCATATAGAATCATGTATAGAAAAGGTGGCAAGCACAGAAATCATATCCACGCTGGAATCTGATATGTGTTTGGAAGACGAAGAATTCCTTTCAAGGCAAAATATATTACTGAGGTGCTGTCCTTGGTGCTGAAAGTGACATTGAAAAATGAAACCGTTTGCCATTAAAGGGAAGACAGAACGAAAACACAGCAGGAAAAGTCAAACTGATAAACTAACCTCCAGAGGAGAGTCTGGTTCATCCAGGATGCTCTTCTCACTCTGTATCCTCTGCATGGTCCCTGTAGAACTGGGGTCCATTATCAGCACGTTCTGACTACCAGCTCCGCCGAACTTACAGTCACTCTTTCTGGAGTCAGTCGTCCTGCACACCTCGTAATTGTACACGTGCTGGAGAGTCCCTGTGCCCAAAGTGTCTGAGTAACGTGGTGGATAATATGGAATCACAGGGAGGTTGGAGTGATACAGGGTGCGAGACTGTCTCCATCTGTAGATTTTCACTGATATAATAACCACTACACACGTGATGAAGAGGAAGGACACTACAGCCAAAGCCAGCACTAAGTAAAAAGTCAGGTTGTCATTGTACTCCTTGTCGTGTGTAAAGTCAGTGAACTCAGACAGCACTTCAGGGAAGCTGTCCGCCACCGCCACGTTAACAATGACTGCAGCTGAACGAGACGGCTGCCCGTTGTCCTCCACTATAACAGTCAGTCTTTGTTTCACAGCATCTTTATCATTCACTTGACGGATAGTTCTGATTTCTCCATTCTGTAAGCCCACTTCAAACAGCGCCCTGTCTGTGGCTTTCTGCAGTTTATACGAGAGCCAGGCATTCTGTCCAGAGTCCACATCAACAGCCACCACTTTAGTCACCAGGTAGCCCACATCTGCTGCACGAGGCACCATCTCAGCCACCACTGATCCACCAGTCTGGACTGGGTACAGGACCTGAGGGGGGTTGTCGTTCTGGTCCTGGATCACTATTTTCACTGTCACATTGCTGCTGAGTGGAGGGGAGCCTCCATCCTGCGCTTTGACTACCAGCTGAAGCTGTTTGATCTGCTCATAATCAAAAGAACGAACTGCACTAAGGACTCCAGTTTCAGAGTTTAAAGACACATAAGAAGAGATTGGACTACCACTGACTTGTGTGTCCTCCAGAAGATACGAGATTCTCGCATTTTGATTCCAATCTTTGTCTCGCGCACTGACAGCAAATACAGAAATGCCAGGGGAATTGTTTTCTGTGACGTAAGCAGAGTAGATGGCTTTATCAAATACCGGTGCATTGTCATTTACGTCAGAAATTTTAAGGTGTAATTTTGTTGAGCTGGAAAGAGGGGGGGAACCGAAATCAGAGGCGGTTATTGTGATGTTATATTCCGAAACGGATTCTCTGTCAAAATATTGATCAGAAATCAAATTGTAATAGTTTGTAATAGATGATTCGATCTTAAAAGGAAGTTTGCCATCAAGAGAACATTTAATTTGCCCATTTTTATCAGTGTCTGCATCTTTAATGTTTAAAATAGCAATCGTTGTTCCGGGAGGAGCATCCTCAGATAAAGGGCTGGAAAACGACATAATGTTTATCACCGGGGCATTGTCGTTGACGTCGAACACATCGAATATAACTTTACTTGAACCGGTAAGCCCACCCTGATCCTTTGCCTCCACCCTCACCTCATACTTTCGGTGTCTTTCGTAATCTATCAGACCAGACACAAAAATCGTGCCGGTCTTTTCATCAATACTAAATATATCTGCTGCACTTCCTTTTGTCTTAAATAAACTGTAACTAATGAGTCCATTTGAACCACTGTCAGCGTCTGTGGCATTAACTGTAATTATTCTTGAGCCTTTCATTGTGTTTTCCATCACAGATGCTTTATAGACAGATTGATTAAAAATCGGAGCATTGTCATTTGCATCTAAGACAGTGACATCTATATTTACTGTACCGGATCTCTGTGGTGTTCCTCCGTCAACTGCGATCAATTTTAAAGACAAATGTGGATGTCGCTCTCGGTCTAAAGGCTTCTGAAGCACCATTTCAACATATTTACTTCCGTCTGGATTTGCATGTTGCTTCAATATAAAATTGTCGTTTGGTGCTAAAACGTAATCCTGCAAAGCGTTTTGTCCCACATCTAGATCCTCTGCACTCTGCAATAGAAACTGTACTCCCACTACAGCTGATTCACTTATTTCCAGGCGGAAAGGCTTATCAATATTCGTGAATACCGGAGCGTGATCATTTATATCCAAAACCTCGACAGTAATTCTGTGTAATTCCATGGGGTTCTCTAAAATCACCTCAAAGCTGAAGCTACATGGCGTCGTGTCTCCACAGAGCTGCTCTCGGTCTATTCTCTCATTCACGACCAGAGTCCCTTTGTCTGTCTTCAGCTCGGTGTACTGGATGTTTTCTCCACTCACGATACGGACCCGCCCTGAACGGAGCCTTTTCAGATCCAAACCAAGATCCTGGGCTACATTACCGATTAGGGAGCCTTTCTTCATCTCCTCTGGTACTGAATAACGAATCTGACCATCAACCATGTTAGCGACATGCAGCAGGAATATCAGCATTTGTATACACCGTCGCAGTCCTGGAAAATCTCGACATCTTGCCCATTTTTTGGCGAGAGATCCTCGAGTTGCCATCATGGCAACAAAGAATAGAAAAAAGGGTTTCAATGGAAACGACGGAGAAGCTGTTTTTATGAATCCGAGTCCTGGTGAAATATAAACATGCGTTCAACCATTAAATGCAGGTCTTTTAATCCACGCTCTCTCGTGCGTCCATTGAACCTCGACAAAACACAGAAAGCCTTCTGCAAAATGTAGTCAGTCGGGGGACGGACTGAATGACGACACAACACAGAAAAGGTTTTGCTGACCAACAGCGTCCCTTTGAGTCGAAAATGTGAACATCAAGCGAAGCCAAGACCACAGTACTTACACCAAGACACAGCGATGGAATTATTACTTACTTAATGCAGGTTCATTTCAAGATAAAACGAGTAAATTAGGGCAAGTTTTAAAAGAGTATATCTCCATGAGCTTTAACAAAATTATATTCAACATTTTCCTGACGTATCTGCAGTTCTGCAGCCATATAACAACACATTTGCTTAGTTTGTGTAATAGAGTATTGGGACTTGTATGGAAATCAAGCTATCTGTTATGTACAGTTGATAGTAATATGTATGGTTTCTATTGTGTACAAGATGCACTGCCATTGCAGTAGCCAAAATAACGTTATGGTCCAATTTTTCTCCAGCAGAAGAATTAGATGTGAAAGTTGTAATTTTATTTGTGGCATATTATAAACAAAACTCATTATTTTAAATAATTTATATCAGTGTCAGTGACCATGAACAATATTTATGATTGATAATGTTTAAAAATAAGAGGAATATTACTTTAAGCTCCCTGTGCATTACAACTAATGATTATCAAGAACACACAGTTTTATATTAATGTGATATATTGTATAAAAAGTTGTTCGTAATATGCAAGAGGTTAACCAATATTGTTTTCGCATTATAAACAAATAAATCAAACACCAAATGTAAGAATTCCAATATCGTAAAGGATATCATTTGGTGGCTAGCACAGAATACATATCCATCTTTGTATCTGATATGAATCCAGAAGAAATATAATTACTTTCAAAGCATTAATCTTGCTGAGGTACTGTCCATGGTGCTGAAAGGGACGCTGAAGATGGTAACCGTTTTTCATTAAGAGACAGAAAGAAGGAAAACAGAGCAGGAAAAGGTAAACTTTTCAACTGACCTCTAGAGGAGAGTCTGGTTCGTCCAGGATGCTCTTCTCACTCTGTATCCTCTGCATGGTCCCTGTAGAACTGGGGTCCATTATCAGCACGTTCTGACTACCAGCTCTGCCGAACTTACAGTCACTCTTTCTGGAGTCAGTCGTCCTGCACACCTCGTAATTGTACACGTGCTGGAGAGTCCCTGTGCCCAAAGTGTCTGAGTAACGTGGTGGATAATATGGAATCACAGGCAGGTTGGACTGATACAGGGTGCGAGACTGTCTCCATCTGTAGATTTTCACTGATATAATAACCACCACACACGTGATGAAGAGGAAGGACACTACAGCCAAAGCCAGCACTAAGTAAAAAGTCAGGTTGTCATTGTACTCCTTGTCGTGTGTAAAGTCAGTGAACTCAGACAGCACTTCAGGGAAGCTGTCCGCCACCGCCACGTTAACAATGACTGCAGCTGAACGAGACGGCTGCCCGTTGTCCTCCACTATAACAGTCAGTCTTTGTTTCACAGCATCTTTATCATTCACTTGGCGGATAGTTCTGATTTCTCCATTCTGTAAGCCCACTTCAAACAGCGCCCTGTCTGTGGCTTTCTGCAGTTTATACGAGAGCCAGGCATTCTGTCCAGAGTCCACATCAACAGCCACCACTTTAGTCACCAGGTAGCCCACATCTGCTGTACGAGGCACCATCTCAGCCACCACTGATCCACCAGTCTGGACTGGGTACAGGACCTGAGGGGGGTTGTCGTTCTGGTCCTGGATCATTATTTTCACTGTCACATTGCTGCTGAGTGGAGGGGAGCCTCCATCCTGCGCTTTGACCACGAAAACCAGTTCTTTCAGCTGCTCATAATCAAATGAACGCACTGCGTGCACTACTCCGCTTTCTGCATTAATTGAGACACAATCAGAAACTGGAGATCCACCGATTCCATGCTCTTCCAAAATATAGGAAACACGCGCGTTCTGGTTTTCATCGGGGTCTTTTGCATAAACACTTAATATAGATGCACCTGGAGGGTTATTCTCTGATATGAAAGCACTGTAAGGACCTCGTTGAAAAACAGGCGCATTATCATTGACATCAGAAATCTTCAAATGAAAAGTTGTTTTAGTTGAGAGGGGAGGAGATCCTGCATCTGACGCAATGACAGTGATATTGCATTCTGACAAATCTTCGCGATCTAATGCAGCATCAGTCATCAGTGCAAAATAATTCCTGACGTTGGATTTAATTTTAAACGGGATATTACCCTCGATTATGCACCTTACTTGTCCGTTATCGCCGGAATCAATATCTTTAACATTAATTATACCAATTGTGGTGCCGGAAGGAGAGTCCTCTGATACAGGACTAGTGAATGACATGACGTTAATAACAGGAGCATTATCATTTACATCAATAACCTCAATTTCAATTTTGCAAGAATCTGTCAGTCCACCCTGATCTTTAGCTTCGACTCTGAATTCAATCTTCTTGTCTTTTTCAAAATCTATCTCCTTTGCCACGAATATTCTGCCAGTGGACTCATCTATATCAATCAAATTAGCTATCCCTGCTTTTGATTTCGAAAAGGAATATTTCAACATACCAGTCGAGCCGCTGTCTTTGTCGCTTGCACTCACAGTGACAATATGCGTGCCTATGGGAGCATTTTCAATCACCGTTGTCTTATACACAGTCTGATTAAACACAGGGGCATTATCGTTGGCATCTAGAATGTTTACGTCTATTTTAATTGTACCAGATCTCTGTGGATTTCCGCCGTCCACGGCCAGCAACTTTAGAGACAGGCCTGGCTGTTTCTCTCTGTCTAATGGTTTCTGGAGTACCATTTCTGCGTATTTGCTGCCGTCTGGATTAACATGTTGTTTCAATACAAAATGTTCAGTTGGAGTCAATACGTAGTCCTGCAGACCGTTTTCCCTCACGTCAGCATCGTCCGCACTTGCTAAAACAAAACGGGAACCAAGCGCAGCTGATTCGCTTATTTCAAATTCCAAATTACTGTTTTGAAAAATGGGAGCATTGTCGTTTATGTCCAAAACTTCTATTGTCACGGGGTGCAGCTCCATTGGGTTTTCCATTAAAATCTCAAACGTAAAGCTACAGGGTGTGACCTCTCCACAGAGCTGCTCTCGGTCTATTCTCTCATTCACGACCAGAGTCCCTTTGTCTATCTTCAGCCCGATGTACTGGATGTTTTCTCCGGTGACGATACGGGCTCTCCCGGAACGCAGCCTTTTCAGATCCAAGCCTAGATCTTGTGCGACGTTACCAACAAGGGAGCCTTTCTTCATCTCCTCGGGGATCGAATAACGGATCTGTGCCTCCGCTTGATTAAGAATGAATTGAAACATAAACACATATATTGCCCCTTGCAATGGCCATTTTACACCTCTGTTTCGACGATTTTCTGTAAATTCCATGTTGAAATGTGATTCTCCAGACAATGATGTTGAGATTTCAAAACGCAGTGGAAAACAAATACATTCCGCCTTGATTAAGATCAGTGATAGAACTATACAAAAAAATCCGTTGAGTACTTGCTGAGTTGCTCGTATGAAACACCGATCACCTACCCTTGTAAAATGCAAAAAAAAAAAAAAAACAGGGAAGGGAGCAGCACTGAGTCACACTGCAGGTTACCATTGATTTCCCAGGCAACAGCGTCACTTAGAGGCTAAAACATGAAACATGTAGCTCTATACCATAAAAAAACCCATGAGTTAAGTGCTTCTGGGGTTATTCTTCATGTAAATGCAACACCTGGTATTGTTTTAATCTATGTAATTTATTTTTCGGAAAAATGGATACAAATAATCAATAAATAGATTGGTCTCGATTTCATTCATATCTTCCAAATATTTACAACTCAAAGCTCCTTGTTAGCTGCCAAAAAACATAAACATGTTTGACAATCAACTTTGCATTAAATAACCACTTGCTTTTAGAATAAATAAAAAAAACATATATTATCATTGTTATCAGTAGTAGTAAAAGTAAAAGTAGTAGAAGTAATAGCCACTAAATTGTGGTTTAAATTCCTCTAATGTCAACCCAAAGCCCTGACACAAGAGTGTTCACGTGCAAAACAGCAGTTCAGCACCATGGACAGTGAACGAAATTCAGTTGATATGGTCCTGTGAAATGGCATAAAAATGCGCGCTATTCTAGCTTTAATCAGCACAATCAGTTCAAAAATATTTTGCTTACAGGTGTAAGAGCAGGTGTCACTTGGGGCCAACTTACCAAAGTAGACATGCGAGATACTACTGATGACTGCTCTCCATTCTTGAGGGTTTCAATTCCGGCGTCATCCACACTAACCAAACTTTGACTCATTGGCTGCGAATACTTAATGTCACTCTTTCTGGAGTCAGTCGTCCTGCACACCTCGTAATTGTACACGTGCTGGAGAGTCCCTGTGCCCAAAGTGTCTGAGTAACGTGGTGGATAATATGGAATCACAGGGAGGTTGGAGTGAAACACGGTGCGAGACTGTCTCCATCTGTAGATTTTCACTGATATAATAACCACCACACACGTGATGAAGAGGAAGGACACTACAGCCAAAGCCAGCACTAAGTAAAAAGTCAGGTTGTCATTGTACTCCTTGTCGTGTGTAAAGTCAGTGAACTCAGACAGCACTTCAGGGAAGCTGTCCGCCACCGCCACGTTAACAATGACTGCAGCTGAACGAGACGGCTGCCCGTTGTCCTCCACTATAACAGTCAGTCTTTGTTTCACAGCATCTTTATCATTCACTTGGCGGATAGTTCTGATTTCTCCATTCTGTAAGCCCACTTCAAACAGCGCCCTGTCTGTGGCTTTCTGCAGTTTATACGAGAGCCAGGCATTCTGTCCAGAGTCCACATCAACAGCCACCACTTTAGTCACCAGGTAGCCCACATCTGCTGCACGAGGCACCATCTCAGCCACCACTGATCCACCAGTCTGGACTGGGTACAGGACCTGAGGGGGGTTGTCGTTCTGGTCCCGGACACGCACAATAACTGTTGCGTTACTACTTAATGGTGGTGAGCCTCCATCATGTGCTTTGACTCGTACTTTGTACTCTTTGACTTGTTCATAGTCAAGTGAACGCAGTGACTGAATGACTCCACTCTCTGTGTTGACTGAGAAAAATTCGGAGACAGGATGTCCATTGACCTCGCCATCAATAAGAAAATATGATATGCGTGCATTTTGACCTTGATCGGGATCAGTGGCGTGGATCTGTACCAAAGCGACACCAGGAGAATTGTTTTCCATTACCTGAGTGTTGTAAACACGTTGGCTGAAAGCTGGGGCGTTGTCATTAATATCAGTAACATCTAAAACGACAGCTTTTGTGCTTGATAAGGCAGGCGACCCTTCATCTGTGGCAGTGAGGGTGATGTTGTACTTGGATAGCTTTTCTCGGTCGAGATTTTGCTCTGTAACCAATGTGTAATAGTTCCGAAGAGATGATTTGATTTTGAACGGGAGCCCTTCATCTATATTTAAATGAATTTGCCCATTTTTACCAGAATCTTTATCTTGGACACTGATTAACGCCACGACAGTTCCGGGTGTAGAATCCTCGGAAATCTTACCAGAAAATGAAGCCATTATAATTAGTGGACTGTTATCATTCACATCAATTAGCTCTATCATTAATTTGCTGGCGCCCACTAAACCCCACGGGTCTTTGGCTTGAATGTTTATTTCATAATTTGAAGAAACTTCGTAATCGATTTCACCGGTGAGCGTAACCTCTCCCGTGTAAGGATTTATTGTGAATGGACACGATGAATCCTCCTCTAAATGAGTGAAAGAATACGTGACGTTACCATTGAAACCTTGGTCCGCATCTACGGCACTGACTATAGCAACAACCGTGCCCCTGGAAACATTTTCAGAGACTGATGATTTGTATACTGACTGTGTAAAAACAGGTGCGTTGTCGTTTGCGTCCAGAACAGAAACGTGTATCTTTACCGTCCCAGACCTCTGCGGCTCCCCCCCATCAACAGCAGTCAGTATGAGCCTGTGTTCGCTCTGCTTCTCGCGGTCTAAACCATGCTCGAGCACCAATTCTGCAAATTTACTGCCATCTGCTCGAGTTTGTTGTTTGAGAATGAAATGATCACTAGTCTTTAATGAGTAACTTTGCAGGGAGTTTATTCCTACATCAGGATCAGCTGCGCTATCAAGCAGGAATACAGTACCCGTGGGCGTCGATTCGCTGATTTCCAGATGTATTTCTTTTTTGGGAAATGCGGGAGCATGGTCGTTTACATCTTGGATTTCGACGGTAATAGAAAACAATTCAAGAGGATCTTCGAGGACAATTTCTAGACTAAAGCTACAGGGCGACTTCTTGGCGCATATCTTTTCCCTGTCAATTCTCTCATTGACAACGATATGGCCTTTGTTCTGGTTCAGCGTCACATACTGAATTTCATTATCTATGACAAGTCGAGCCCGACCAGACACCAACCTTTTAACATCCAAGCCGAGGTCTTTAGCAACGTCTCCGACAAACAGTCCTTTCCTCATCTCCTCTGGTATAGAATAACGAATTTGTCCACTGATCGCAGTCACAACGCAGAAAAGCAAAATGGAGACTCGCAAATCCAGTGAGGTGCCCTTCATCTTCAAAAAATAAATTTCTTCCCATCAATAGCAGAACATTTCAGTTATCCGTATAGAAAGAAATACATCGTGTCTCGATCACAATCTGGAGCCTTTACTTGATCATCCTCAGTATAACCTATAAAATACCACCAGTTTAGCAAGTGTATGCACAAAGACGGGCGGTGACTTGTGATAAGTCTGGTATTAGACGAATAGGCTGCTTAGGCAACAGCACCACCAACAGTGGCAAACTGAAACAACAGCATCGTTGGTGGTATGTGTGGACTTGTATCAGACATCCAAATTACCTTTTTCAAAATAGAAATCCAGCGAACAGGGAATTTTCACCACGGGTTAAATAGATCAATATATCATCAACGCAAGTGGGAAAAGTTAAGCAAAAAAAAAAAAAAAAATAGAGAGGGAGGTAGAGAGAGAGAGATAGATAGATAGATAGATAGATAGATAGATAGATAGATAGATAGATAGATAGATAGATAGATAGATAGATAGATAGATAGATAGATAGATCTGAGAATCTGGGTGATAAATCAAGTGACCTGTATTTATGCAGTTTAGTTAATATTCACTCATTTGCAAACATGAATGAATACTGGTAAGTTTCACAGCAGTGTGAGTACAATTCTTTCTAATGTAACTGCAGCATGCTGTCTGCTCAGGTAGGTTTTTCTTTTTAAATAATTGGGTCACGACAGCGCCTCCCACCGATGGCAGACAATATTAGCCTACACTGCCGCAGAGCACAGCATTCTGCACACCATGATTGTGCATTATTCAGGAAACGACTCTACAGCAGCAGCCAGGGCTATTAATATTCATATGGTCTAAAGCCCTGGGTAGAATCACACAGCACACACAAATAAGGGCAACGCAGCTGCCTGTGTCATAAGACTGCAAGTTAAGATTTCAGTCTTGCAAGGCTGTGCTTTTTAAATTGGCATTTGTGATGATATACACTTTACAAATATTGCTAAAAACATTTTGTAAGATGAAACAAAGAGATAGAGGAAAAGTCCACGGTAGAGAAATAAAACAAGCTCATATGGGTCAACTCATATTGATGGTGGGTGTTGAACATGGTGTTAATTGGAGTGTAAGTTGTTTACAGAGTTGAGAGTATTGCACAGTGAGAGAGAAAGGGAAATGAAAATACTCTTACCTGCTGGATGATAGAAGTTCAGGAGTGTACCGAGAAAAGAAGAGAGCAAAAAACAAAAAAAAACAATTAGTGTGAATCCTTAAATAAAACACACAAGTATCACATCCTGTCACATACTTTACATTGACAAGCATCACATACATATCCACAGTGATTTATCAGAATAATATAATGGATTGATTTTGTGACAAATCACTTTAAGTACTGGGTGCTGAACAAAAAACATCCAAAGATAGAAAAAGTCCACACACTAGAAGCAAACTAAGTTCACGCAAACAAGATGTCACACAGGAATTTCAAGGGGCTGCTTTAGCCAAGATACATATTCAAACTGTGTTGCATACATGTCTTTGAAGTAATGTATATTGCATTATGTTTGTATGAATGGCTGCTAGTTGTTTGTTGGAAACTTTGTAATCCTTGCTTCTGCCAGTTTTAGCCAGAATACTTTTGAAAAAAATAACAAGCATTTTAATGAAGACAAGCATTTCCTGGTTGAATAAAGCTTAAATAAAATAGAAACTTTACATATAACCTGACTCTTGATTCAAGTTAATA